GACGTTAGTTATAGCCTGCATGAAGTAGTTTTGGTTAGAATTTATTAGTGACACATGAGTGGGACTAAATGTCAAATCAGAATGTTTTCTGAGGTAGTGCATTCTGTATTGCCTTAATGTTTATCATTTCATGTTTTTTCTCCTTTTTTTTTTTTTTTTTCCTTAAATTTACAGTTAAATTAATTTTGCTTGGCTTTAGGTTTTGTGATGCAGACAGGGAAAAGAATACAGGTCTTGAGTTCCATCAAATTTAATGCCAAACTGTCACTTTGAAACAGTTCTTAAATTTTAAATACTGAAATAACATACAAGTAAGGAGGAGCTCCTTGGATACTATGAGGTGTAAGTATATCTGTCAAGTCAAAATCCTTTTACTGATACAATAGCAGCTCCCCCAGTAACCAGAACCTTTATCAGTAACGTGCAAATTTACAAGGGAATGATTGGATCAGTAGCCTGTATGGATTGACACCAGCCTGAATGTTGCATGCCAGCTCCAACCATTGTAATACAAAACGATGTGCGTGCATGCATAGAGATAATCTTCCTGCACGGGGGCATTGTGTTACGTTATCTTTAGTAATGGGGGTGAGCATATGCCAAACTGCTAAACCGGGGAAACTGTACGCAAATGCTGATGACGGTGGATCACATCATTCCCAGTCTGAAGAAACACAAGTATGGAAGCCTCAATTCCTGATTCTAGGCCTGTCATTTGTATCCTGCAGTGAAGGTATCTAACCTTCCTATATAGGAAGGGGAGTAATGATGCTGGCTAACTTGTCCAGAGGTAGGAGAGGATAGCTATGTTAACTGATCTTAACTAACTGGCGTCCACAAAATGTTGTGTAAATGCAGGAGAGGATGTTCAGTAAAAAGAAAACCTTTCAAATTATGGGAAAGGGAATCCAGGATATGCATTTTCTCTTTCAAAATCAGTATCAGGATATTTGGAGGACAGGCTATCACTATTATGTTAAATTGTGCTACCTACAACATAAGCTTCTGTCTTTGCTAAAGCTGCCAGTTTTTATAAACAACTGAAGACAGAAAGGGTTTACTAAGAATAATGTTGAAGCCCAAAAGAATCCTGCAGCCTATAAATCTTAATAGAGGTTCTGAGATTCCAATGGGCTGCATGTGTCTCTTTTACCCAACCTCACTCCATCTTGGCTCCCCTGTGATGACTGCAATTTTCTTGAAACAGAGGCACGGTGACTTGAATTTACTCATGGCACTATTTGCCTACAAACAGGAATACATGCATATAACCTATGCAAATCAATAAAAGCATGTCAAGACCCCTTAGATCGCAGTACTCTGCTAAAATGCAATTTATCATGCTGCAAATGAGAGTAAGAGACTAGGTAACAAATAGTGTCTGATCATTTAACTAGCACCTGTTGTCATGCATTTGAAAACTGCATTTTTCATTTGACGTACAGTAAATTGCATTTTCATATATATTGAATGGAAGGGGGGACTTGGGGATGTACATATGCAGGATTTTATGAACAATGGGAGTTTTACAGCTGCTTGCTTGAAGAGGTCATATCAGTCTAAAAATCTATTTGTTCAATTGTTGGGAATGCAAAATGTCTCTAGCTATTTGGAGAAGAATATAAAATTAGAAGTTGCTAAGATAATTCTCAGCATTGATAAATGTATAATTAATCAGAAAAAACTATTTTACATAAATATCTAAATCTACAGTGTTTTTTATTTATTTGTTTATTCAAAATTCTAAGAATGTGACAGGCTGAGGAGAAAGGGACACTTCCTTTGTGAAGAGCCTTGTTCATTTCTGTCATGCCCACATTCCTCCCCACTGCATCCCCTTCTTTTAAGACTTTTTTTTTTTTTTTTTTTTAGAGTTCTATGATTGATTGCAAATTATAACCTTAGATATGTGCATGAGAGAGTGTGCAAAGGTTGTAGAGGGATTTCCATGTTGAAGAATACCCTTTTGCAGAATACCTAGAAAAATTGTTGGCTGGTAAAAAACAGCCAACTTTATCGGCAGTTGTTTTTGCTGAGATCAATCTAGTTCTGGATTATTCTGCTGGTATTTCTTCTGCTTCATGAAGAAGTGGTCTTGGAGACACAGGAGAAGTATATACAGCAATGCTGCGGTGATAAAGGTCTTTTCCCCTGGACTAAGGGCTTTGCTCATGGATTTTGCTACCACACTTGACCAAGAATCTTTTGAGCATTTTCCCTCTATATTTCCATCTGTATGTTATGTAGTTCAGTTCTTGGACTTGACAAACATTATGGGTAGGTGTCATAATTTTGTTTGACACAGAAGAATAGCATCTCTTTTCTTACCTTTGTGATTATTCTCTGTGCATTAAGGAATTTAGTTTCTATTTGTTGTTGCTGGTTTTTCTTTAAGGCTCATGTGACTTATTAAATAGGTCTGCTTGAGAGTTTCTCTCAGGATTTTTATAAATTATAAACTACCTTTTTTATATTGTCTGTCCAAATAAGAGATTCAGAAGAATTCACTTGCTCAGTATTTGTGACAGGTTAATTAAACTTCTCTTATGGAATAAGCATGGGATACTACTAAGATTCTGAACTTCATTGTCCCGCTATTTTCACATTAGTACTAGTATCAGCTATATTAATTAATTCTTATAGATTATTTTTTTCATTCAATCTGAATGTTGTCCTAATGCTAGCTATAAAATGGGTTTATGAAGTGTCTGTGCAATTTTATGTCATAGAACATTTGTGAGGTTAGTCTGCAAACTGAAAATTTCGCATTTCATTTGTATACATGTATGAAAAAATGGCTTTGTGTTTCATATTGTGCCAGTTTGCCTCCATGACACAGTATACTTGTGGGTTTTAAAAAACAACAACAGAAATGAAAACAAACAAAAAAAATAAACAAAACTAACAAATCTCTTCTTCTGTCTCCTGCAAGAAGAATCGTGTACACAAGAATATTTTTCATAATATTATATTTTAAGGATTTTGTGCTTTGTAGCCAGACTGAAGACTTCTATTTTTAACTTCTATAAACGACTACTTGCAGATTTCATTGATGTACATCTTTTTATAGAAATGCATTTATTATTTAAAAAAAACAACAAAAAAAAAAAGACATGAACATGATATCTTTAGTGATACAAATATAGAAATACATAAATTTGAATAGCCCTAGGAGGTTTTAGTTTTCAGATAGTTTTAGGAACATAAATGGGAGTGACTGAATTTTGCTAAGTTAGATGTAAATGCTTATTTGGGAAAAATCCATTTGATGCTTATTAACAGCAAAGAAAATTCAAGCAGTGTAGAGATGAACTGGTTTGCAGTATTTCAGCTTGATTTTACTAGCAATGAAATGTAAATTGTGTTATGGTGCAGAAAACTATGCCAAGTCATGGGTTTTATTTCAGATCATTAGTATGATGAGCATGTTGTGTTTATGTGAACAAAACTCTTATGAACACTAATCTGAATGGCTACTTAGTCATTTCAATCAGTTTGTAATTATTGTTTGGCAACAAAAATACCAGTTTCCTCCAATAAAACTCTGTAGCCTTATATAATTATGTTCCTAATTCTTTCCTTCCATGTCCTTGTTTTGGTATCATGTGGTGGTGCAGTAACTCTTTTTTTTTTTTTTTCTTTTCTAATTTTCATGTCCCAGTGAGTTGATCTCTCGTGTGATGCACAAACATATTTAGGGACTACCCTTACTTTTCACACAGTGGAGCATATACATATGCTTGAAATAACAATCACCATATTGTGGCTCCAGGAATTAACACCACTTCATTTGAAAAGACAAGAGTGTTAAATATCTCATGTATGTATGTGGCAGTCTTTAAGGAACAGAGAGTATTTTAAATGTTTTAAAATAGACATTTTTTGAAATAGTATTTTTATACTATGTTTATGATTTTTTTGTTCGCTTGTTTGTTTTGGAGGGGCGTGGTTTTTACACTAACCACTACTTTCTGAAGCCTTACAGAAGCCTTGTTTAAACCCACCATAGCTCAGGAAGGTAACATAGTGTTATCAGTAGCCACCTGTGCAGGGGGATGGCTTGAGGTTGGTTGTTTTCTACTGCCTTCCCACACCTGCCAGGTCAGTAGCCCCACTGCCTGGTCAGGCCTTTCCCTCAGGTGTAGCCAGGGGTGAGGGCAGCTGGGCAGGGAGGTAATTAAGCTTCCAGCTTGTGAGAGGGCAGCTGCAGCTAGAGAAGCCAGAAGGAGGAGTATTGAGATAATCAACTTTCTGTGGGGTTTGCTGGTATTAAAATGGTCTCACTGTCCCAAAAAAGTTTTGTTATGAGAAGGAATTGATTTTAGATGTTGTACTTGGTCTGGCTGGAACACAATTTTCTTCATGGCAGCTTGTGCGGTGCTCTGTTTCAGATGTGTGACCAAAACGCTGTTGGTAACGCAGCACTTGGTAACACAACAGTATTTTGAGCTATGGCCAGCTGGGGCTTGCCCAGCGTCTAGGCCTGCCCTGACTCCCACTGTCCCATAGTGAAGGGATTGGGGTTGGGAGGGGATGCAACAGGGTAGAGGATCTGATCTAACCACAGAGGTGTACTGTCCCGTGAAACCCCAAACTCTGAAGTAAAATGGGAAAAGAGGGGACTTAGGTATGTGCGCCATCTTCACTGGGGAGATGGCTGGGCACCCGCCAGCCCATGGGGGGTGGTGAGTGAGTGCCTTTGCGTTTTTATTTTCTTCCTTACTTAGACTTCTCCTTCACCTACTAAGCAATTTTTAGCTCACCCTCCAAGTTTTCATTTACTTTTTCATCTTCCCCTGTCCCATGGAGGGAAGGGGAAAGGGAGCAGTCAGCTGTGTGGTGCTTAGCTGCCTGCCAGGGTTCGCCCACAGCAGAAATGCAGGAAACTCTGTAATGGCGGTGCAACTTCAATGCTAGCTTTTCTGCAGATATGTGTATTTTCAATACTTGCCTGCCAGTCCTCTCTTGACAGAGGTTGCTTTTGTTTTCCTCCTTCCCAGGGAAAAGCCATGTACCAGAACTGTTGCAGAAGGAAAAGAGGCAGGCAGCAGATCTACTCTGGGGCTGGGGGAAGAGCAAACACCAAAGAGCAGGTAGCACCTCTGAGTTGTTTTGAATCCCTTAATACTTACAAAGATGAAAAGTATCAGTTTTTTCTGAAGGCTCATCATTTTCTGTCTTCTGACACCATACCTACATGTGGGGAGAGAATAACAGCAGTGGAAAACACTGTAGCTGGTATGCTTTTCTGGCTTAAAAAGTTTTTCCTTTTTTTTTCCTTCTTGCCTCAGGCCTGGGATACTGGGGATACAAGGAGACCTTGAATTTTTCTTAAAAATATTTATACCTTACTTTTTGTATAAAGATGTATTTTCTAAGTCGATGTAGAAAAACTTATTGGAAATCCTTGATTTTACTTGTTTAAATTTAAGGTTTGTTTATGAAGGAATAGATTATTTTTGCAGAAAGACTACCATGATTATGCATTAAGGCACCAAGGAATTTTCATTTTCTATGCCTCTGTAGAGTTAATGTTTTCTCTCTTTTCCCCACCTATTTTCAGCTTTTTGAAACTTGGACCTTTAAAGTTTGTAGTGTGTCTTACAGAACAGTTACTACCATGCTGTTATGAGATGGTCCAGAACTTGGTAGTGGCAGTTTAGTTATATAAAATTTGTGGTTATGTACTTCACCTAAGTTTTAGAAAAGTCGTGACTCCAACAGAAGTTAAAAAAAAAAATGCTTGAAGGGGTACACACGAGATCAGCAGTACAAGACCATGAAATCAGAGAATTACGTGGATGTCGAAATGCAAAGATATAAAAATATTGAAATGAGGTTTCTGTGCTCTGTTCACCAAGAGCTAAATAGGCAACTATTTTTCTTTTTTGCCTTATGGGAGGATTTTTTTCTCCAAATGATTGAATATGATTTGGAATTATAGCTTGCTGATAAAACTCATTTTGGTAGGTTTAAGTTTCAATCTGATCTATTTCTTTGTGTCTACAATCCAGTCAAATGTCTTTTAAATGAGAAATATGCCAGCTAGGATTGTTTTGGTGCAATGATTTCCATTTAGTTAGTAGAGAGAGAAAAAGAGAGAATTTTTAAAATAAAGTATCTTTGAGTTGCCTGCGAAGGGAATAGAAAACATTTTAAGTATTTTGACATAAGAGGTCAGACAGAATTGTTTCATTTTATTGTTTCCATTTTTCATATTTATTTTCTATCTGTATGGTCTACCCCATTTAAAAACTTCTGTAAAAAGTAGTTGCTCTTAAAACTAACTCCTATGACGTTTATTTGTAATATCAAACAAATGCTATAGCTTTGCCAGCTGTGCTTTTTTTTTTTTTTTTTTTTTTAAGTGTAGAAGGCCGCAAACTATTCTTGATACTTGTTCTGAAGATAAATTAGTGGCTTCTAAATAATGCAGTGAACCCTAATTCTCTTTGATTAGTAGTGAGTTAGATGATAGCGACCCATTGAAATTGGTCATCAGCATAAATAATGAGTGAATGAACTGATAAAATGCAAAGTCACCGGCCATCATAAATCAAATGAAATCCACTTTCTCTGGAAGTCACTGAAATTAGAAGTCCATGCTCCTATTAATTATTTTGCCTTCTGAAGACGACAGTGTTATAAATCAGCCTTGAAAGGCACTTCACTTAGAAAGCTGAAAGAGTAAGACTGCCTGCAAATTGTTTTGTATACGCACCTAATTGTTTCTTAAGTAACCCACCTTTTGTAGTGTGACTGCTGAAAAGCAGAAAGTGCACCCAAAAGTGTAGATTAATGAAAGTAACAAATACTGCTGTAAGAAAATTATTTGGTTGGAATAATAGCTGTACCTTCCATGTTGGTCAGCCTGAAGCTGAGTCAACTTTCCTTGTTAGACAGGCCTCCTCCAGTCAATTTGGACTTGAGCTTATTCTTCTTTATTAGCCAGATATACTTATATTGCAATAAGAAGCTTGTTAATAAAAAAAGAAAAGTCTGGAGGAAGGGAAAATGGACATGTAGACTGGTTTAGTTCAAAGTTGCACTGTGAATTTAAACAGCATACTGTAAGACTTTTCAATGACAGGTAAACAGTTTCTTGCAGAAAATGTATGTGTATTTCTGTAGTTTATGTCTCTCTGTGTGTATTTATATGTGAAGACATGTATGTATGTGTTGTTTTTTTTAGAGACCAAACTTTTTCTTAAGTAATTTAACACTCTTTGCACAATATCTTATTTTTCCTTTGTTGTGTTAGAAATTCCTTACGTGTATTGTTCAATCATGTCCAAAATGTGTCTTCATGCTACTAGCCATTTAAGGAAATGTGCAGGATTGGCTTATAGACTTGCAGATGTTTATTCAGTGTAAGATCAAAATGTATGTTAAGGCTTGTTCATCATGTGGTAGCACTTCAGTTTCTGAAGCCTTGTAACTTGCACATTTATAGATACCAATGCATTCAGTACCATCCTTACTGTATGCGTGGATCAACTGTAAAGCTCTGTATTTCCATTCCCTTAAATATACAGGATTGATGTTTTCAAGTATATTGTTTAGTTTGTTTGGAAATTGGGACTTAATATGCAAAAATAAATGGCTTTTGCTTGAATTTTTTTGCAGTGATATCAGGACTAGATCTAGGAGGATTAATATGCAGGTGACTCTTTTTTTCTTGTCACGACTGTAGTTCAAGAACAGTTTTCAAAAGGAGAGTTTATTAGAGGTGTTACTTTGTCCTGCGTATTGCTCCTTTCAGTGGATAGAGTGGTGAAAAGGTCAGACCATTTGAAGTAGTGTAGGTGTGGAGCACAGCAAAACAGCATCTGTACATTCCCACCCACTCCCCTTCCCCCCCCCCCCCCCCCCCCCCAAAACAAAACAAAACAAAACAAAAAAAAAAAAAACAACCAAAAAAAAAAAAGGCAGAGGATTAAAGAGGCATATAGTCATTCAAAAGAACAATGTTATATGTTATTAAACTACTGGTTCAAAAAAAAATAAATAAATTACTTTTCCCAAAAGTTTTGAGTCATCTGAGCTGTGGACACCCTGAAAAGAATAAGTCCTCTCTTTTTATTAAAAGTGTGAAGGAAAATGATCTCCCGTGAAGCCACTGAATCTTTCAGAGGACTGCTATCTCCTGTCATGGAAATTAGAAACAGTTTTCACTGTTCTCAGACAAAGCAAAATAAAAGTGAAGTATGGGTGAAATATGGAGGAATGAGATTGTTAGTGGGTATAGTAGGATCTTGTTTAACTCCTGGTTCAGAGTAAATTTTTAAAATTATTTTGAATGCAATATTTGCTTAAATATATTACACATTGCTAAATTAAAGAGAATGGCTTTAGAATTTGGATCAGTCAAAATTTATGTTTTTTGTTTGTTAAGAGTTTTTCAGCAAATTGTGATAGTAAGAAGACTATGTTTGAGACTAGCTTTATTTTTTATTGTCTAATATGTTTCTAGGGTGATATTTATAACCTACTGATGATGAGAGAATGTTAGAACAAAAAGTTTCTTTGAGAAAGAGCAAACAACTGTACACAGGCAATTACTGAAGTAATTGAGTTACTTACTTTAAAAATAAACTTAAGTTGCAATAGATTTGCTTCTACAAAGGTATTTGATTTGTATGTCAGTACTAATTAGCAATGGGTGAGTGTAAGGAGCAGTCCAGTAACGCTGGCTGAAAATGTCAGTCCCAAGGCATCATTGCAGATACCTCTTTCATGTCTTCTGTGAAGTGGTCATGTGTCAGTGTTTCTTATTTTTGTCAGTGGCATTATTTTTGAGTACAGTGGCCTGCAGTGAAGGAGATTTTCCTTCATTCAGGTGCACTTTGGATGATTTTTTTTTCCATTTTACTGACTTGCAGATAAATTAACAATCGAAAGAAGCAATGTTGTGAGTCTACTGAAAAAGCATTAGTCCCAATACAGCTTAAGAAGGTACCTTATTTTAATTGCATTGACCCACTTAATGAGTGAGACATTATTTAATAGAGGGTGCTACTGAAAAGTCTCTGAGTTGCTTCTGTCATTTCCACTTAGGATCCTCAGAAGTAAATTGCTGTCTTATGCTTTGATACATGATAATGAATTTGGTTCTCTTACTAACTTGAAGAACAGTTACTTAACCTATGTAGTGGCTTTCTTTGCAAGGCAAATTTGATAAATGATTAAGTAGTTACGTTGTGGTCTCTGTAAGAGAAAGGTGATCTAAGAAGATGGCAAGATTTACACCACTCTTCAGGTCAAGAAATGTAATGTTGGCTAAGAGAATAAAAAAGTTGTGGGTTTTGTTTGTTGTTGGTTGGTTTGTTGTCTATAGGAGTGAGCCTATGTAATTAATTTCCTGATTATAGGAATAAGCGTGTAAGCGTTCACTGTAACATTTCCCAGTGAGACACTGACAAATAAATAAGTAAAACAGAATCTACTGGAACATATTCAATAGTTGCATTGTAAAGATAACGTCTAATTTTGAGCATTGTGAAAGTATCTGATGGCAGCCTGAGGTGCAAATTGCTGACAGTGCAAATCTCCTTTATGCTGCAATGGTAAGTGACACTGGACCATAGAGTACTTGCAAAAAGAGCTCAGGCTATGGCAGAGGAGACCTACAGGGGTAATGCAACGGACAGTCAGTTTTTAGAGAATGTTTAATTCTGTCCAGAAGAACTAATCTCTAGTTTAAATTAAAAATCTACGTGGTGACTTTTTAAAGTGTCTGTAATATGGAAGTGAGGTCTTCTCTGCTCAGCTTTTTGAGATGCCTAGCTTTAAGAAGTGTATAGAAACTTCTGTTTATTTACCTAGGATATAATTTATTTGAGAGAGGTGTTTTTGAGTGCCTGTGGATTGGAGACCATCATTGGCTGCAGTATCATGGTGTGTAGACTTCTGCACATCCATTCTAGTAAAAGCAGGGGCTTTATTGTTCTCTATAAAAAGTCCCTAACCTTGATTATCAACTGACATACCCATTTTAAGATTGGTATCCAAGCAAGTGGAAAGGCTTCTGCTTCCATATTGATAATCATAAGTGGTGGAAGTGAAACAAGATTAAAAAGGTTGACCTGTCTTC